GTTCGCCTTACACGCGACCAACATGGCCAACACAGGTTCGATTCCTCCGCCCCTCTCGGAGAGCCCGGCAAGCTACCGAGAGTATTCGATATGCCAGACACAGTAACAACAAAGTCTCCAATGGAGACATTACTGGGCCTGCTCGAGCAAATCGACGATCAACGGGAGGGCCTTTACCTTTACCTTTACCTTACATAGTACTCCATTGTGTAAATGTACCAAAGTTCCTTTAACCAGTCATCTGTTCTCGGGCACTCAGGTTTTTTTTTTTTTCCAGATTCTGGCTATTGTAAAGAGTGCTGCAATGAACAAACAAGTGCAGATGTCACTTTGACTATACATTTTTGCCTCTCTGGGATATATTCCCAGGACTGGTATTGCTGGGTCAAATGGGAGCTCAATTTCTAATTTTTTGAGAATCGGCCATACTGTTTTCCAAAAGGGCTGAACCCGTCGGCACTCCTACCAGCAATGAAGGAGGGTCCCTTTCTCGCCACATCTGCGTCACACTGGTTGCTTTTGTTGTTTTGGGTGTAGGCCAGTCAAGAGAGATATCTTTTCAAGTTGAGAGAGAGAGAGAGAGAGAGAGAGAGAGAGAGAGAGAATATGGAATTTAAGTTGGTTTGAACTTTACAGAAAAAAATGTAGAAATACAGGGAGACACTATTTTTTTAAAATTTTTATTAGTGAGACATCATGAGGTGCAGTTGTAGACTTACAAATTTTTGTGCTTGGGTTTCAATTTTTTAAAAAAATTTTATGTTACTTCACAATATTTGATTCCATTTAATATTCAAACACCAGTCCCACCACCATTACACCTTCCTACCACCAAAATTGGGATGTTTCCATCCCAAGCCCCAACCTCTGTCCCAAAACACAAACGAAAGAATATGTTTAGTATTGTCTGTTATGAATAACTGCTGAACTTCCTTACAAAAAGTGTTCATATAGAAAACAGCGTGAAAATTGTTCTGTTTTGGCAGGAGCTATTAAGACATTCTATAGGATATCACTAACATTTTGTTAAGTTTGGGTGTTGTGAGCTTTTGTATTTATGTCTGAAAATATGTATATATGCTTATATATATTTCCATCTATGATTTGTTGTCTACTGTCTGAACCCCATCAAATATGGTGTGGTAATTAGGGAAAATGGGTAGGGAGTGTCTTATGATGTGTCCAGGAATATGTTCACTCACATGTGAGGCTCGGCCTGAACATGTGGAAAGCAGCCTGGAGCGTGGCAGCGGTTGGGTAGTGGAGGTCGGCTGCCGGGACTGGGTCCCTTGGGGTGGGAAGGTCTCTCACCCGCCCCCCTCTGGGGTGCCCCAAGTGAAAACATCCTGGGACAGAGTCCAGTGGCATGGTTACGGGGGTCTCATTTTATGCTCCATTCTGGGAAAAGCAGCCGTGAGTTCTGGATGGTGACTGATGACAAGACTACCTGGCGCCAACAGGAGGTGGCTTATGGGTGTGACTCCTGGGTCGCCAGAGACGGGGGTGGGGGGAATGGGCAGAGCATCTCCGGTCCCTGATCTCATTGAGCCCAGGGTCCAAGATCACAAAGTTCTGTATTACCTGGGTTCCGTGGGACTTCACTCATGTGTGAGGCTCCCCCTGAGCTTGTGGAAAGTGGCCTGGAGCATGGCGGCCATTGGATAGTGGAGGTTGGCTGCCGGGGCTGGGTCCCTTGGGGCGGGGAGGGCTCTCACCTGCCCTGCTCTGGGGTGCCCCGAGTGAAAACAGACAGGGAGACACTGTTAATAGTGTTATTATTTTCAAGGTGGATTGTTGTGTGCTATTTCATTATTAGAAATATTCCAAGAGTTAAAATTAGAGATAGCTATGTATTAGAGATAGTATATTTCACTGAGTCATTTAAGAGGAACTTTTTCAGTGAGTCTGACAGACAGACACAGGGTTGGTTTGTTTTGGTTTGGTGTTTGTGCCACACCCAGTGGTGCCCAGGCCTTACTCCTAGCTCTACACTCAGGGATGTCTCCTAGTGGGGTTTGCGGGGACCACATGAGGTACCTAGGTTGGGTATGAGTAAGGCAAGTTGTACTATCTATCTGACACAATGAATATTTTTATTATGGCATCTAGGTTAGTATCTTTTTTGTCAAAGCTGTATAATGTAGAGTAGATAAACAATATTTCAAAAGTCATATTCCCTTACCCTCATAGCTTTGCGGCCCTCCATGTGGCATGTCCTGTATTCAGCTAATCTTCCCCTGTTGCTCCCTTCCCCACACCAAACCCTCCTTTCTTTCCTCTTCTGGGATTCAAGGTAAAGGTCTGGATGTGGGATCCATCATGGTAAGGGATTAAGCCCTGTGAAGTCGGCTGTGGTGTCTCCTGATGTGCAATTATAATAAAGAGAGCCAGGGATATGGCTCAGTGGTGGTGCACCTGCCTTGCTTATATAGTACCTGGGTTTAATCTCTGGCACCACACACACACACACACACACACACACACGCGCGCGCGCGCGCGCACACGCACATTATAATAAAGGATATTTTATTTTATCTAAATGGTAACATTTAGATAAATCCCTATGTGGAAAATGAATCCCTATGTGGAAAGTATTTCTGATCAAATAGGCTATTTCTGAGGAGACTAGCATGTGTTCCCTTAAGTTATTGATCTTTAAATTTATATATCCTCTTTCCACATAACTCTCAAAAAGGAAAGATCATATCTTAGACAACTTTGTTCACAGTCCCCAAATTCAAGCACAAGGGTTTACCAAGCTTACCAGTGTCGAGAGAGAGAGAGAGAGAGAGAGAGAGAGAGAGAGAGAGAGAGAGAAAGAGAGAGAGAGAGAGAGCTATTTTTGTGGAGAAAAAGCAGTACACATAACCAACTCTGATAAGGCTACCCTGCCCTTGCAGCCCGTTGCAAGATATCCTTCGTGTTTACCAAGTCGCTGTGTCTCAGACTGCTTACTGTTTCCGGGCTCCCCACGCTGGTATATTGTCAGGTTGACCGCCCAATTCATAGCCCCTTCCCTAGAGGTTTACTACCCAGAACTGTCCATCCATAAGTGTGAAAAGGTTGGAAACCACTAGCCTAGTGGAAACCAGCAAATATGTGATCAGCACAGTATGATGAGAGTTCTGAAGAAAGCAAAGGATGGTGGGCAGCTCTTACCTTTAGGGAGAGCGGTTGGTACAGGAGGGCTTCCTGAGAGAGGGGCTCCTGACATAGGGAAAAAGGAAAGATGAAACTGAGTGTGATCAGACAGGAACTTGTGAAATAGCATGGTTGGCATAAGGCCAAGCGCTGAGAGTAATTTGATAGAGTGGACACATCAGATTTGCTAAGAAGAATAGAAGCCCCTTTGTGTGTGTGGGGGGGGGGGCATGGTGTTGTTTCGTTTCGTCTGACCACATGCTGAGGGCTTACTCCTAGCACTGTGTTGGGGGTCACTCCCAGAGATACCCAGGGGGGCAGAGGCAGATCCCTGAAATACAGCCAGCTTTGACCACAGGTGAAGCAAATGCCTTAAGTCCTTTACTATCTCTCCACCCTGATAGGAGCTATTTGGCAAGAACTATAATTCAGTTTTTTGTTGTTTTCATTGTTTATAAATTTTGTTACTTGCTTGTTTGAGGGCCCCATCTGGTGGTGCCCAGGGCTTACTCATGGCTCCGCACTCAGGGAGCACTCCTGGTGGGCTCAGAGGACTCTTTGGGGTACCATGGATTGAACCTGGTTGGCCAGGGGCAAGGCAAACATCCTACCCGATGTACTATCTCTCTGGCCCCATCCTGGGTCTTTTTGTTTGTTGTTTTAAATCACTGTATCACTGTTATCCTGTTGTTCATTGATTTCTTTGAGCAGGCACCAGTAATGTCTTCTTCGTCCTAGCCCTGAGATTTTAGAAAGTGCCACATTCGAGGGTCTTTCAGGGTCAGAACAATGAGACCGATCATTGTTACTGGTTTTTGGCATATTGATTATGCCACCAGGAGTTTGCCAGACTCTGCAGTGTGGGCATGATACTTTTGGTAGCCTGCCAGGTTCTCCAGAGTAAGAACTAGATAATAATAATAAGGCCCTCCCGTTGATCATCGATTTGCTCGAGCGGGCCCAGTAACATCTCCATTGGAGACTTTGTTGTTACTGTGTCTGGCATATCGAATACGTCATGGGGAGCTTGCCAGGCTCTGCCATGCGGGCGAGATAATAAAATGTTTTAAATATCTATTTTAAAGTATTATTGTTTCTCAGGCACACCTGGCAATACTCAGGGGTTACTTCTGACTCTGTGATCAGGAATTACTCCTAGCAGTGTTCAGGGAACCATATGGGATGCCAGGGATCGAACCCGGGTCATCTGTGTGCAAGATAAATGCTCTACCCGCTATACTTTCGCTCCAACCCCCCCATTCGTTGTTTTTTTTTTTAATACTGGGACCATGATTAAAATACTTCTCAGAAAGCAGCCTTGGGGTCAGTAGGCTCTTGTCTGATTGTGTAGAGTGGCAGAATCTTTGCATCCTGATAACCTGGATTCTACCCTGCTCAGGGAAGCCCTCCCATGGCCGGTGAATTCCAGCTGATGCTATTGTATTATGGTATCTTGTTCCCTAGGACCCCATAGTCATTTGTGTAGGAAATCAGCAGTTCTAACAAAATGCATAATATCTTAAACTCTAGTAAGTGGGACTGGCAGAGAAGACCCTGGGGAAACCCCCGAACTCAGGTGTTGAGTGGAAGAACTGTTGGTACACTCCCCAAAGGCCTGACGGCTTACAGTGGGAACTGTTTGAGCTGTGAGGCTGGGGGGAGAGTGTCTCAGACGCGCGATTTGGACTCTTGTCATTATGAGAATAAAGCAGGCGTGCGCCGTCTGTTCCTTTTCTGTCAAGGTCAAAGTCCCTAGGGCCTATAGAAAGCATCCTAGGGCAAGTGTGAGCTGAGGGCTCTTCACACGAGTGTCAGAGATGACTGCTAATCAAGACACTTTCCAAATGTTCCCCTTGCAGTGTCAAAAAAGGTATTTTTCTGCCTGGCACAAGCTGATTCTTGATCATAGGATTGAGTTGGGGAAAGCCGGAACCCTGTCTGACTGGAAGCTTCAACTGAAGGTCCTGCGGGCCTGGAGAGACTATACACGGTCCCAGAAACTGAAGCGGGAGACACAGACCATGGAAAACGAACTCAGAGAAGAAAACAGGTACTATTACTTGTTCATCCCCCTACTGAAAAAGAAGTTTCAAGTAAGTGAAACATTCTTTGGATGTATATCTCTGGGATTTCTTTCCTCTGAAAGAGTTTGAAAGTCTAAATACTGCTTACTGGAATAATCTTACCCACTTACAAGCTTTGGTAATCTGTCTCTCTAAGTTACATCTCAGCCTGAAAAATTACACAAAATTCTCAAGCCCCAAATTATGATTTCGGTCTGGGGTGCTCAGGGCTCACTCCTGACTCCGCTCAAGGATCACTTCTGATGGTGCTCAGGGGTCTGTGAGCAGGGTCGGTCGTGTGCAAGGCCAACACCTTCCCCCTGTGCTTTCTTTCTTCAACACCAACACAAAATTATTTTCTTGAACTACACTGTTTTTAGTGTGTTTGGAGCTACTCCTAGGGAGTTTGGAGCTACTCCTAGGGAGTGTCCAAGGGCTATTCTGGACTCTGCTTATAGGTCACTTTGACAGTGCTCAGGCGACCGTGTGCTGTAACAGGGATTGAACCAGAGTCGGCCATCATGCGAAGCAGATGCTTTTCCTCCTATATTATCTCTCCACCTCTGTATATACTTTCTGTTTTAAAGAAAAAGTGGTCTCTTTACACCACAGACCCTCTTAGAATGCGGAAGACGCAGCTTGGTTTCTATGCCAGTAGTTCTCCTTGATAGAAGTTGTGGTCTGCACATGGAATTGAGAACATAGGGAACATCCATCTGGGAGGGGAGAGCTGCCAAGAGTAATTCCTCACACTTCTAACTCCTGTTCCACACCTGTTGTAGTGGTTTTGAACACCCCTATATATGTTTATGAATGACACAATTTATCTTCACCAGAAACATTCTTGCTTCATCTTAAATACATTTTCTTTTTGTTTCCAAGTTCCATTTGAATTCTCCAAGAAAAATTATATATGTAGAAGGAACAATCTGTGGATTTGGTGGTTGGATGGGAATGGGGAGTGTAGGTTCTCAGCAACCCTTGATTGATTTTCATTCAGAGTGAAAAGCTGAATTGTATATGAAGCATTGTTTGGTAGAAGGATGTGTCCCCTGTCCTCTTTGGAGTTGGACAACCCTGTGACAATAACAGATCCTTAGGAGAATTCTTAGGAGAACAGTTCAGTACATCATCCTTTGTCCTCAAAGAACTCTGTTTTGTGGGGAAAACAGGATCTAGAAATAGCACAGGTGTTGGATAGTATTGTACATTGTGTCATGCATCTGCTGAAAACTTAGCTGAGGGAAGTGTTGTGGTGGCTGAGGATGCTCCTACAGGGTGCTGGGAAAAACTGTACTAAGATGTATCAAGATGAGTCTTGAGGAACAAAGGAGAGCACGAGGATCTTGAGCTGGAGTATGCGCAATGAGTCTGGTGTCCCTAGGCGGAGTTGGGAAGGCCGCTGATGGCATGAGTGCAGCCAAACAGTCCTGGAATCCTGATGCATGTGGCGGTCACCTTCATTCACCTGGGAAAAGCCTTGAATTCCAGGACAAGGAGTTAAGGAATTTTTTTAAGATGAATTCTCAAGGTATTTAAGTAGTACAATGAATTGGTTCATTACATATGCTGGGGAAAACTCCAGTGGAAATAAAGGAGGTCAGTGCAGCACTTTCAAATTCATTGCAAAATTCTAAGGACCTGGCAACTGAGATAAGGAAGTAGATGATAGCATACCGAAAAGAGGAAAGCTGGCAGAATTTGTTAGCTGAAGGAGGGAAACTAGGGACTGGAGAGATGGTACACCAGGTAAGGTGCTTGCCTTGCATGTGCCTGACCCGGGTTTGATCCCCTACACCCCATCTTGTCTTCTGAGCTCCACCAGGAGTAACCCCTGAGCACCATCAGGTGCAGCCCAAATCCTTCCCCACCCCACATCCTCCCACAATAAAAACCCAGGGAAACGAGAGGTGTAAAGGGGAAGCAACAGGAAGGCTGGCCTAAAAAGGGGGAAATTGCTGTTAAAAGGTGAATATGAAGTATATATATGCCTAAAGAAACTTAAAGAAAAACCTGAATAGCTTGAGATTTCCTTCCAGTTAAATTGTCTAAAAGTCAGTACAAACTGGGGGCCGGAGCAATGTTACTGCTTGCCTTGTCCACGACCATCCTGGATTCTATCCCAGCACCCTCTGTGCTCCAGGAGTGAGTACACCAGGCACGTTTGGGTACCAGAAGGGGTGGAGAAATTGATCCCTAGGCAAGCACACTATCTGATATGTTATCCTTCCAAATCTTTTTGTCTGTTTGTTTTTTTTTTAATTTATTTGGGCTGGAGCAATAGCACAGTGGTAGGGCATTTTCCTTGCATGCAACCAACATGGCCGACCCGAGTTCGATTCCTCCGCCCCTCTCGGAGAGCCCGGCAAGCTACTGAGAGTATCTCGCCCGCAAGGCAGAGCCTGGCAAGCCACCCGTGACGTATTTGATATGCCAAACACAGTAACAACAAAGTCTCCAATGGAGACGTTACTGAGCCCGCTCGAGCAAATCGATGATCAGCGGGAGGGCCTTTACTTACTTACTTACTTATTTTGTTTGGGGGGGTACACTCAGCTGTCTTCAGTGTGTACTCCCGACTTGTATACTCCCAACTTTGTGCTCAGGAATCACTCCTGGGGAAGCTTAGGGGACCATATGTGTTGCCAGGGAGTGAACCCAGGTTGGCATGCAGAGACAGCACCCTATTCACTGTACTATCTCTGACCCCACTGGTGTATATTTTTGCTCGAGTAAAAGTAAAGGCCCTCCCGTTGATCGTCGATTTGCTCGAGCGGGCCCAGTAACGTCTCCATTGGAGACTTTGTTGTTACTGTGTCTGGCATATCATTTTATTTATTTATTTATTTATTTATTTTAACAGGCTGGAGTGATAGCACAGCGGGTAGGGCGTTTGCCTTGCAAGCGGCCGACACGGCCGATCCGAGTTCGATTCCTCCGCCCCTCTCGGAGAGCCCAGCAAGCTACCGAGAGTATCTTGCCCGCACGGCAAAGCCTGGCAAGCTACCCGTGACTTATTCGATATGCCAGACACAGTAACAATTGTCACAATGGAGACATTACTGAACCCGCTCGAGCAAATCGATGAACAATGGGAGGATTGTGACCATGACAATTTATTTATTTTTATGTAGGCGTATTGCTATTTATTCAGCCATTGATTAGGCTGATTGAATTGGGCATGCACTCCACCTTACTTTTTTTTTCTTTTTTATAATTTCATTTATTAAATCACCGTGAGAGCAGTTACAAACTTTCAGGTTTAAGTCTCAGTCATACAATGAAACACCCGTTCCTTCACTAATGCCCATTTTTTACCACCAAAATCCCCAGTATACCGCCCCATCCCACGCCCTCCCCCTACCTGTGGGTCAGATGATTTCCACATTACTGTCTCTCTACTTTCATTATATTCAACATTATGACACCAGACCCACCATTATTATTTGGGATTTTGCCCCAACACTCAGATCTGGTAAAAAGGCAACAGTAGATACGTAGTTTTCTATCGCTGGTTATGAATAACATAAGATGCCACACAGCCGCATTAGTGGCCGTGCAATTTTGGAATTCCGAAATTTTAACACTTAAATCTGGAGGGATTTCTGCCCAAACCTGCTGGGTTCCGAGATTTGTTCCTGAGTCTCTTGAATTATGGCCATTAAGCAGCTTGATTAGGTCAGAGGCTCTTCGTGGGCGGCTGCTCGGGGTCTCCTTGGGGTGGGGAGGAAAGGGCCGGCTCCATCCCCATCCCGTGAGTGTCTTGTCACTGTGGGCCCAAACCTGACCATCTAGTGGGCTCTGGAGTATGGCAGCCATCGAGCTGCCTGGGGGTACAGGCTAAGGTACGAAACCTATTCTCACCTGGGGTGGCCCCGTGCCAGTAGTCTACTGCAGGGATCAGACACATTTCTGCCAAAAGCCTCTGGGTTTCAAGATTTGTTTCTGAGTCTCTAGGGTCATGGCCGTTAAGCAGCTTGCTCAGGAGCCAGAGAGGCCGTTCGTGGGCGGCGACTCGAGTCTCGTTGGGGTGGGAAGGAAACGGTGTATAATTTTCAATGTGCAGAATGAATACTACATTTTTTGGATTTCCAGAGTTAGGCTGGAGCGATGGCACAGAGGTAGAGCGTTTGCCTTGGGTGCGGCTGGCCCAGCTGAGTCGGGTTTGATTCCTCTGCCCCTCTCGGAGAGCCGGGTGAGATACTCTCATTGCCCGCACGGCAAAGCCTGGCAAGCTCCCTGCGACGTATTTGATATGCCAAACACAGTAACAAGTCTCACAATGGAGATGTTACTGGGCCCGCTCGAGCAAATCGATGAACAACGGGAGGACAGTGCTGCAGTGCCAGAAAATTTTTAAAGTGTATTTTTACAAGAGAACTTTAGATTCAAGGAAGGGACATCTCAAGAGTCCTCTAGTGTAACCCTCATTTAACATATTATAAAATGAAGACCTTAAAAAAAATTTTGTGGATTATTTTGAGGGGTCAGACCTGGCAATGATAAGGGCTGACTCCTAACTATGCTCAGGGATCAGTCCTGTGGAATTGGGACCATAGGTGGTTCTGGGGATCAAATTTGGATCGACTGCATGCAAGGCAAGCATTCTACTCACTGTACCATCTGTCCAGCCATGAGGCCTTAAAATTAAGACTAAATTACTCTCAAGGTCATGAAATTAAGAGTACCCATTCCAGGACAAAGAACGTGGTGTTTTTGGTTGTGAGAAGGGGACTGAAAATGTGTTTAGAATTCTTGCCTTCTAGTACTTTGCTGTCTACAGAGAGAAATACTAAAAATAATAGCAGCAGAAGCACCATAAGATACTTTGTGGGGTGGGGGTAGAGAGATAGTACCGTGGATATGACAATTGCTTTGCATATACTGACCAGTACCTGGCACCCCGTATGGTCCTCTGAGCACCATCAGAAGTGATATTGAGCACAGAGTAAGCTCCAAGCACCAACAGTTACAACCCAAAAGCCAAAAAAAAAAGAGCAAAGAAAGAAAGAAAGAAAGAAAGAAAGAAAGAAAGAAAGAAAGAAAGAAACCGTTGTAGTGCCATATGAAGTGGTCTGGTAAAAGCCTCATAAAAAGATGCCTAGCTTAAGTCCCCATTTTAAAGGTTGGCAGGCGAGACCCTCCTGCTAAGCTTGGACCAAGAAGCTCTGGAGACCCCACCCCACAGTTCCTAGAACTCTTCCTCAAACTGCCCATCAGTTAGGCCCAGCAGGGCAAACATTCTGTGCCTTTGCCACCCAAATTCCTGCAGCTGGCCACATTCCTCCCTTCGCAGGCTAGGCTTCAGTTATTTTATTATCTTTATAGGGCTGGCTTGAACACTTCATAGTTGACTCAAATTATTATATGTATTTCTTATCTTTTTAAATAATTGGTTTAGGATATTTTATATCCAGTTTACTTTCTTCCCAAAATTCGGTACATGTCTCCTGCTTGCCCCATCGCAGTACTAACTAATCTTTATAAAGCCGAAGTTTTCCTCCTGGAGCAGCTCAGAAATATGCTCTAAGGGCCGGAGCGATAGTCCAGCGGATAGCAGCACATCTGCCTGCATGCAGCTGACCCAGGTTCGATCCCCAGCACCAAAGACGGTTCCCCGAGTCTTGCCAGGAGTGATTCCTGAGCACAGAGCCAGGAATAAGCCCTAAGCACAGCTGGCTATAGCTCAAAAAATAAAACCAAAAAAGAAATATGCTTTAAGTGTCCCCTAAGAATACGAGACAGGTCTCTCTTTGGAAGCCTCCGCATGTCTGTCTGATCAGTGTACTTCTTGCAATAAACTGACTTTGCTCTGCTTGAACAGTCTCGTTCCCAGCCAGAGCCATAGTAGGATACTAACCTTGCACGTGGCCAACCCAGGTTCGATTCCTGGTATCCCGTATGGTCTCTGAGTCCCACCAGGAGCGATACCTGAGTGTAGAGCCAGGGGCCAGGAATAAGCCCTTCAGCACTGCTGGGTGTAGCTCCCACTCCAAAAAAAAAAAATCATTTTAAAAAACTTAATGAACTGTCTTGCTTCTGATAGATTTTTTTGCAACCCAACAGCTAAGACCTAGGGGGTTCTGGGTTCTGGAGCCTACTCCTAACCCTTCACACTAGACATGGCTCTCATGCATTACAACACCCCATCCTCACCCCTGAGGGCTTTTTAAAATTCAGGGTCAATGAGATAGTACAGTGGGTAACAGGAAGCTGACCCGGGTTTAATACCTGACATGTGCCTCCGCCCCTGCCCAGCACCACCAAAAGTGATCCCTAAGTGCAGAACCAGGAGTTACCCCTGAACACTGCTGGGCATGACCCCAAACCCACCCCCCCCCAAATAGGGACTTGTGTGCCTCATCTTTTGTTTGAGGAAAACTGGTAAAGCAGCATCTAGGAAGCTTGTGTGAGAGTCTGGGGTGAGCCCACAGAGTTGCAGAGATGCGGGGGCTGAACCGACGCGTCAGCCTCCATTCCCAGGACTCCTGATTCCCCATCCTGGAGGCCTGTGCTAATGCGCTTCCCTGCATGGAGACTGCATGGGATGTGAAGCCAGCAAGGACACTGAAACCCGGCAGTGATGGAGGAGGACCAGAGCTGCCATACCTGACTTGCTGAAGAACAAAATTCTGTTAGCTTCCACTCCCTGGCAGATTCCGGAATGGGATTCTGGGATGCATTAGCCTGATCTGTTCTCCTCCTGCTGAACCTGCTCATCTCAAATGTATCTATTCAAATTTATCTTCTGCGTTTTATTTTAGCACTTAATCAGATCATTAGTGTTGGTTATTTATCATTTCTCATTGCCCTTAAAAAGTTCAAACAAAACACTTTCTAGATACCTGATAGCCTTCTCCTAAGAGAGTAATGGAATACCTTACATGGATATTCATTTTGTATTTTCGAGTTTTTTTTTTTTTAGACCTTTTAAAAAGAACTAATGTAGGAACCAGAAAGATAGTACAATGGGTGGGGCGCTGGCCTTGAATGTGGCTTACTCGAGTTCTATCTCAGATACCCCGTATGGTCCTCCAAGATCCACGAGGAGGGATCCCTTAGTACAGAGCCAGGAGTAGCACTGAGCACCATAAGGTGTGCCCCCCCCCCCCGCAAAAAAATACCTAAACTTAAAAGAATTCCTGTAGGTAATGGAGAGATAGTAAAGCAGGTAAGATGCTTGCCTTACATGTAACCAACCCAGGTTCAAGACTCAATCTGCATATGGTTCCCTCAGATGCACCAGGAGTGATTCCTGAATACAGAGCCCAATGTGCAAAAAAAAAAAAAAAATCCAGTAGGATAGGCAGTATAGAATATTAGGGGGATTGTGAGGAACTGAGTATTGAAGTTTCTTTAGTGGTTTCTTTCTCTTTCTCTCAAACCTCTGTCTTTCAAAAAAATTGAGTGCTAAAAGGAGGCAAAGGAATATACATGATAACTTTTCAGTACCTGCATCGCAAACCATAATTCCCCAAAGAAAAGAGATAGACAGAAGAAAAGTGCCTGCCCTAGAGGCAGGCTAAGGGTGGTTGCATGTGGAAAGAGGGAAACACTGGATGTTGGTGGTGGGAAATGTACGCTGGTGAAGGGACCAATCTTGGAATATTGTATGACCAAAACCCAATCAGGAACAACATTATTTTTCTAAATTTTTATTAGTGGAACACCATGAGGTACAGTTGTAGACTTACAAATTTTTGTGCTTGGGTTTCAGTTATACAATGATTGAGTACCCATCCCTCCACCAGTGCCCATTCTCCACCACCACGGATCCCAGTATCCTTCCCACTCCCCATACTCCCTTCTCACCCTGCCTCTGTGGCAGGGCATTCCCTTTTGTTCTCTCTCTCCTTTTCAGTGCTGTGGTTTGCAAAAAAGACATTGAGTGGCAATCTTGTTCGGTCTATAGTCTACTCTCATCACGCATGTCCCATCCTGAGAGGAACCTCCCAACACCCTTTATTTGGTGCTCCCTTCTCTATCTGAGCTGCCTTTTCCCCTAGAGCGTGTGCAGCTGTCCTCAAAGCCATGGAGTAATCCTCCTGGTACTTATCTCGGCTATTCTTGGGTGTTAGTCTCCTATTTTGTTACTTTATGTTCCCCAGATGAATGCAATCTTTCTATGTCTGTTCAGGAACAACTTTTAACTATGTATCTCACACACAGTGATTTGTTTTTTTAAATTTTTTTAAAAAACAAAAAAAAATTTAAACCCTGTCTTCCTTAGATTTCTGAGCATGATTGAATGTCTCCCTTGTGTATTTCTGTTCTCAAACCCAGTTATTTATATACCTTTTCTCTTTACTTCCTTTTTCCAGAAATTCTCAGAAATGTTTATTATCAGTCATTGTGACATGATAGAACAGCTTTATTTTAATGCTTTCTTTGTTTTAGTCGAGGCTTGAAGCTCCACTGCTTTATATAAGAAAAGTTTTGCACTGCAGAATTTTATAAAGAATTTCATTTATCCCAAACTAAACAATAAGATGGAGCCTTTCTAGAACTCCTTCCTATTTACACATCACTTGTATTGTCAGCTAAGAAGCTATAAACTTCTTTAGCTTTTTTTCATCATTTTTAAATTTTATTATTTTGTTGAGGTGACATTGGTTTATAAGACTATCAGTGTTTACATGTTGGGGTACAGTGTTATTGTGCCTCCACCATTGCGCCAATTATGTCTCTGTCGTGGACCATTGGATCCTTTCAGCCCAGAGACCTTTGGTAACCCATTTCTGTGGTCAGAGTATAAGGATTTGTTCTCACTGGATATCGTCTCTTCCTTGATTTGTCTCTTTGCATGCCACACATATGATCATGTCATGCAGTATTTGTATTTCTCCATTTGACTTTTTTCACTTTGCGTCATCCCCTCCAGTTTCATTCATGTTGTAGCAAAAGGCAAGATTTCATCTTTTTCTTTGTTATAATGGAACAGCATTCTATTCTATATATATAAAACCCACCTTTTCCCACCCATCTGGAGGATATTTTCCCTTGAATTCCTTTTTTAAAGCACCGTGATTTATAAAGGTATTCATAGTTGGGTTTCGAGCATCCAGTGTTCCAACACCAATCCCACCCTGAGTCAGCTTCCCTCCCCCAATGTCCCCAACCCCACCCTGTCTCCTTGGCAAGAACATTTAAATTTTTAAAAATTATTATTTGTTTTTGGGGTCACACCTGGAATTTCTCAGGACTACTCCTGGCTTGGAACTCAGGGACGACTCCTGGTAGGCTCAGGGGACCGTGTGAGGAGCCAGAGATCGAACGCGGGTCAGCATGCAAGGCAAGCATTCTGCCCTCTGTACTAACATTTTGCAGTTGCTTCAGCCTGACGAGCACTTTTTCAGGGTAGCTGTCATTGGGGTCTTGTGCATTCAGTTTTGTTGGTTCTATGGTTCAGATATATAAAGAAGCCAAAGCTATAATACATCGAGTAAGGCATTTGCCTGGCATGTGGCCAACCTGGGTTCCGTCCCCGGCATCCCACATGCCCCCCCGCCCCTGCCCCGAGCCCACGAGGTGTGATCCCTGAGTATAGAACCAGGGCAAGCCTTGAGCATTGCTGGGTGTGGCCCTAAAAACAAACGAAACATACCGAGGTATACCAATGAGTGTGTTTTGTTGCTTAGAAAACAACAAGTGGCCACTGAGTATAACCGGAAACAAGTTCTCCAGCACCACTTCACGGAATGGCAACACTGGCTTCGAGCAGAGACCCTCAGGAGAGAGCTGACTGTGACAAAGGAGGGAACCAGAAAGAAAATGAATGAGCTGCTGAAGGCAGCGTCTCTAGGGAAACTCTGCGCAGGTGGGTCATCAGCCGTCGGTCCCCATCAGGAGGCAGCAGCCGTGGGAAGTCCACCGGAAAACAGGGGAGAGGTAAACTCTTTTCCTTTCGCTGGTTTTCTTTTGCTGGTATCGAGTACTTGCATTAGCGCTTTCCACTTGTACAGCCAGTGACAGACTGCCTTGTCTAGGTGATTTAAATAATGAAAGCTGCCACAGTGCACACAGGGCCAGTTCAGGCATTGTTTATTTTCTTGAAAATATTAGTATCTTTGAAGCTTAGTAGGAACACCACATAGAGAGGGAACTCACAGCATCTGAGTAACAGAGATGGAAACCTTTCTTTACAACTAACTCCTGAATTCCTCTAATTGTCAAATATTTTGTCTCTAACTGAACTTGTGATTTGTAAAAGAGGGATATTTAAGTTTTTATTTTTCCAACGAGGAAAAAATTATATGCATTGATCCAAGCAACTGGTAGGGGCACATGATTGAAAAAAGAAACCAGTTTCTTCTTACCACATAATTGGTAAGGACTACCAATAGAATACTGAAGTATACCTATTTAGTCTTTTCTCTGATATTCAAACATATGCAAATTTTTCTTTCTATTAATTTCTGGGTTAATAATGTATCGTTACTACAGAGTTTATTCAGTATTTATTTATTTGGGGCCTCTTGATTGGTGCTTAGGAGGCCCAGGGGCCCCTACAAACAATTTTGGGCAAACCAGCCTGGTTCAGGATTCCCTGTGCCATTTGGGGGCAGTACCCAGCAGTGCCCCCACATGGTATAAGGGATTGAACCAGAGTCAGCAGCATACCAAGCATGCACCTCTGTACAATTTCTCTGGCCTCTATTTAACTTTTTTTTTTTTTTTTTTTTTGCTTTTTGGGTCACACCCGGCAATGTCGGCTGCATGCAAGGCAAACGTCCTACCTGCTGTGATTTTGCTCCAGCCCCTAACTTTTAAATTTTCTTTGAGTCATTGTGGATATGGATTTTCCGTAATAGAGGAAAAGGAGAGTCATGATCCCTCAATTCTCCGAGAGTCGAGGGGCCACTCCCAGCAATACTCAGTCGAGCTGACTAGATTGGCTTAATGTTAGGGCCTAAGGATACAGAGGTGATCAGGCCCCACAGTGTAGGGGACCACCAGGGCTACCCATGCATGTCCCTAGAGCCATACCTGGAGTGCTAGGGGACCATGTGGTCCTCTAGCATGCGTTTTGTGTTCAGTTCCAACTCTTGACTGCTGAACTCTCTCCGCAGGCATTATTTTTTCTAAATAATGCAAATAAATAATAATAATTCTAAATAATGTTTTTCTAAAAATGCATTTTGCATATATAACGAGAATTTTTAATGTCACAATATAACATAAGAAATGTCTGTGTCACAAGTTCTACTTGTGCAAGCTGTCATACTAAATTAGAATTTTTTTCAGTTCACCAATGAATCTAATAAATATATACTGATTAAGAACTACCTTTCGATGCCATCATTTTGGAATGGCTGCCAGATAGTCTATCATGAACTGTAAACTAGAATGTTTACCTCCTTCTATATTGCTGGACATTCGTTTCCCATTTGCCATGATTGTAAGCAAAGTTTCCTGAAACACAGCCATAATGCTTTACTTAGGATAAATTATTCAAAATAGAATGCACTGTTTTGTTTTTTATTTTAATTCATTTTAATGTAAAAAAAAAGTCAACAACTATTGATACAATTCTAGAATAAAATTCATAGATAACAAAGTTGCAATATTAAAATCAAAAGATCTAGAAAATCAATTTATGTGAACATTGGTATATCTGATATCGCAAGGTAGTTAAGTCCTTGTCTATGAACATATTAAGCTGTTTGTTGCTTTGGGAGGTGTCACGTGGTCGTACATGGCCAGAGACTTCAGGATCATCTGTGGTCTGGGCCAGAGTCGACATGCCAGCAGCTGTGGGAGGTGGGCCAGGCTTCCGGGGCTTCCAGACGTATCAGGAGCGGGGGTGGAGGTTACCCACCCAATTCCAAAAAAATCACCAGAGTTCTCAGCTTGGACACCAAGTACCTGAAATTACTCACAGATTGGTGCCTCTGCAGAGAATAGAATGCACTGATTTAAGACTTTGCATTATTGTACCAAAGATGTGCCTGCTTTTCATCTTATTGTTTCAACATTTATATGACTTTGATTACTAATGAAGGTAAACATTGTCTATACTGACCATTTAAAAACATATGTTTTTTATATGTGGTATAGAAAGATATATAGTGATTTGTCTCTTCGTGCCTTTGGCATTTTTCTGTTTAATTTTATATATTTATATATTTTAATTTGTAGGTGCTCTTTTGGAATCAGAAATATAGCACAATATACTGAGCACATGCTTTGTGTGAAAGAGGTCTGGGTTCAATCCCTAGTACCACATGGTCCTTGAGCACCTCTGAGCATGGTCCCAAAACATGAAGAAAAAAAGTAAAAGGGAGCTCTTCATATTTTTAAGACTATGGATTTTATTATTATGTACTCTGCAAATATATATACTCTTGCAGAGCCTGGCAAGCTCCCTATGGTGTATTCAGTATGCCAAAAATGGAAACAAGTCTCACAATGGAGACATTACCGGTGCCTGCTTAAGCAAATTTATGAACAACGGGAGGACAGTGCGACAGTGCTACTCTGCAAATAATTTTTTTATTCAGTGATTTGCCTTTTAACTTATTTATGTCAGTATCATGCACAGTTCAGTTTTTGGTTTTGGGTGGGCGGAGGGCAGTTCATGGTGACAGGGATCGAACCAACATCTCATGCATATAAGGCATGTGCTCTACCACTGAGCCCTGTCCCAGGGCTCTCAGGGTTACATTTTGATAAAGTCAATCTTGTCTGACTTCATAATTTCGTAAGTGCATTTGTCTTGTTTAATATATAGGGAAGGGATCCCCAGCTGTGCTCAGGGCTTATTCCTGGCAGGCTCAGGACGGAACCTGTGGTGGCACATGCCAGGCAAAGTGCCTTACCTGCGGTGTTATCTCTGGACCCTGCTTCACACAGCCCTGCACTGTAGCACTGTCCTCCCGTTGTTCATCAATTTGCTCGAGCAGGACCAGTAACGTCTCCATTATGACTCTTGTTACTGTGTTTGGCATATCAAATATGTCACGGGTAGCTTGCCAGGCTTTGCCACGCGGGTGAAATACTCTTGGTAGCTTGCCGGCTCTCCGAGAGGGGAGGGAGAATCGAACCCGGGTCGGCCGGGTTGGCCACATGCCCTACCCGCTGTGCTATCGCTCCAGCCCTGCTTGGCATATATTTTAGAAAAGATGATATGGTTCTTCATTTCTCTCCCTAGCCTCCACTCTTCTATGTAATACTCTCAAGTCCGTAACTCAGACTTGTGATATTAAGTCAAGCACTCATGGACTTTCAGCCCTGCTTTGCCCCTGATTAGTGCCAGTAAGTGGACTGGATTTGATTTTACTCTCCTAGCAAGAGAGTAAATGGATCATGAGAACATTGGGAACTTTATGACATTTTGGTCTCTTCCTCTAGCAATTTCTGTCAGTTAGAATATTTTGTTTCCATTGAGATACAAGAGAGAACTCAATTTTAAGAAATAACTATGTAGAAACTTCATTCTGCTGTTATAAAAGTCTACTATTACCTTTTTTTTCTTTTTGGGTCACACCCGGCGATGCACAGGGGTTACTCCTGGTTCTGCACTCAGGAATCACCCCTGGTGGTGCTCAGGGGACCACATGGGATGCTGGGAATCGAACCCGGGTTGGCCACGTGCAAGGCAAACGCCCTACCCACTGTGCTATTGCTCCAGCCCCCCTACTATTACCTTTAAATGAAAAAAGAGTCAGAAAATGCTTTTTAAACTATATTCAACCATATGTAAACTCAAGGGAAAAAACATTTTAAAATACTGAAATCAAGAACATAAGATAATATTTAAAAAGGCCAATACTGTCCTCCTGTTGTTCATTGATTTGCTCGAGCGGGCACCAATAATGTCTCCATTTTGAGACTTGTTGTTACTGTGTTTGGCATATTGAATACGTCACGGGTAGCTTGCTAGGCTTTGCCGTGCGGGCGAGATACTCTCGGTAGCTTGCCAGTAGTGTACAAAAAATAGAGCAAATAAAAATAAAGGACTGTAATAGATTATTATATGAACTCTTAAGTTTTTCCAGTGTTCAGTATACCATGAACAAAGAAAAATGTAGAATCTTTAGAAATTCTGTGCTTCTTAATTATACAATCATAAGAACTAATGTACCACCAACACATTTATTATACCTTGAATTTTTTCATTTAGTAGGTGATTTTCTTTAATCAAGCCAGAATGGTTAGTCATGTTCTACTAGGTACAGTCTGTACCTTTCAGCTTTTCTTTCTGTCCCTTATTTTTACCCTTAAAAGGTTCCATGATCCAAAAGAAATATCGCTGCTGTACTTGAGGCTTTTACAGGCTTGCTGGGTTAATGATGCATCCCTACCACAGAGTTTAAAAGGGCCTAAAACATATAGCCAGCTTGGTGCTAAATTGCTTAAGCAGGTGTTCTCATGAATAAAATGTTCACTGACATTTCTAAAATACAAGGGTTATTTTTAAAAGTAGTTAGCTTGTCAGAGGGTCCATGTACCACATCTTTCACTTCAGTTGCATCTATAGAAAATATTGTCATCATTATGAAAAATATTTTTGAGTACCTGAGCAGGCTGCTAACGTTAGAAGCTTCTGGAGCTGGAGCAGTAGTACAGCGGGTATGGCATTTGCCTTGCACGCAGCTGACCCGAGTTCATTACCGGCATTTCCATCTGGTCCTCCCAGCACCGCCACTATTAATTCCTTAGTGCAGAGCCAAGAGTCACCCTTTTTTAAATTATTTTTACTTATGACATATCCTCCCCATGGCATGTAGCTCTCGCCACACTCTCACCAGATTTCCTGTGTGGGCAGCAGGGCAGAGTCTCAGAATGGCTTGCAAAGCTGGGGCTGGTGATTTCTGAGACACTCAGGCCAGGAGCACAGGGCAACTCTGGCTGGGTGCTGGGCTGTTGTTTCACTGAACAGAAGAATGCTGACTAGATGAAGTCAGATCTCCTCAGCACAGTACTTTAAACAGCTGAACCATAATCCAGTCCTGGGGCCGGAGACATGGTACAATGGGAAGGTTTGTTTGTCTTCCATATGGCCTGTCTGGGTTCCATCCCTGACACACAGTATGGTCCCCCAAGCATTTTTAGGAGGGGTCCCCACGTGCGGAGCCAAGAGTAAGCCCTGAGCACCACCAGATGTGGTCCAAAAACTGAGAGGAAAAAGAAAATCTCTTCCTTCTTCCTCAGGTGACTGTTGTACCCCCTCTGTGGGAAAAGCCTCTCTCAGGGGACAGTGATTATATGTCCAGCCCACCTGTGGGCACACCGACAGAGGGCGACCTGCAGGTTCCCTTCCACAGTGCGCCTGACAAGGGTCAACCCCAGCTTGTGGATACCCAGCCCGCCAGACCGCCCCGCCGCAGAGAGAAGCTCCCGGCCACCAGCCAGCAAGAAGTACCCGTTTACGTGGGTCGTGCTCACAGTCGCGAGGCCTTCCAGCAGCAGCTGATTGAGAAGCAGAAGAAGAAACTGCAGGAACAGAATAAGGTCATTCTGGAGCTGAAGGAAAAGCAGCGGCTGACAGAGGCCCGGTGGGCAAGGGAGCTCTCCACAGCAGTGACCAGAACACAGATCCGCCTCCTTTCAAACCCCAGAGAAGAGACAAAAAGAGCCAGCAAAGTCCTTCCCGAGTATGTCTGTTGTCAAATAATTCTCTCTGACACATTTGTGGGGGGCAGGGGGTTCACTGATGTCAGACAGGCTTGGAACTTCTTTTGTCCAGCCTCCAGCCTACATGATCTCTTTTATTCTTCACTCTCAAAAGTGTTGTGAAGGGTTGGAGAGATTATACAGCCAGTAAGGCGCTTGCCTTGCTCACGGCCAACCTGGATTGATTGCCAGCATTCCATGTGGTTCCCCAAGCCCTGCCAGAAGTAATCCCTGAGCACAGAGCCAGGAGTAACCCCTGACCATTGCTGAATGTGGCCCCCAAACAAACAAAAATGGTTGTGAATATTGAACATAGCAGGTACATATAAGTTAAAGGCAAAGGGCCACCTAGGAAAAATTCACTTAGAGTTAGCATTTGTGTTGTACTTGCCTCTCTTGGCATTGCTCTGTTACTGGACCACCATACAAGAAAAATGCTTACTTATTCTAATGAGATTTCTGGGTTTCTGTTTATGCTTAGTGCTGAACGTCAAGTAAAACTATCAATTCCAAATGGAAGAGCTCCGGGCTGGTCAGTTAACTAGTTGAAATTTGTGGCTGTTTTGAGTAAAAATAAGTACCACTTATCCTGGTGTGAGTCCAGTTCCTCAAAAGCCATCTTGAATGTGCCTGAGACATAATCAATACATGTGATAAATAGCAGGATCAGGAAAGGTATCATCTGTTGGCCTCAAGCCCTGGGGAAGAGGTCAGTCAGGATCCTGATTCACATTGCACACTTGGGCCGCTCACTCATCCTTCCATGCCTCATGATGCCCGTTCATTCAACCGATGCAATGATTTACGGTTATCTCAGAGTGAGGATTAATTAAAGTTAGTAAAAAGCTGTGGGTTCCTTGAGTTAAGGGACTTTGGAGGTAGCTGGTTATTGGTCTGAATTATTTTCCTTTTCTCTCCCCTATAGTTTGCCTCTTGCTTCCCCTGGAACTGAAGATTGTCAAAGTAATTCCCGAAATTCTCTTCCCGGACCCAAAAAGAGTCAGCAGCAGAAGACGGCACCTCATCCCATATTGAAAGGCAAGGCTGTGTGAGGGTGGCCTTGGTGGTGGTTCTCTTCCCTTCGAAGTAGATGGCATCCTGGCAGCTCAGAGGGTTTGAGACTTGGCTGTGTAAGATGATGGGCCGTTACGTGAGGAATGGAATACACGAGAGGGTTCCAAGACTTTTTTCCTGCTCCTTCTGCCAGACTTCTTGGTCTTCCCAGCCAACATTAAAAAAAAAAGATGATAAAAGTCACACTGGTTTTCTGTAATTTGAGATTTGGATTATGGGGATGGGGAATGAGACAGTTACGCAAATAAAACCCTATGAGCTTCTAGTTAGTAAGGATAAACTTTGATTTAAAAAGAAATCATCTCTTACTGCCCTTGCTTTGTTAATATTAAAATTTTGATCCATTTAGAGCAATATTTGTGTCAAAATAACATCGTTTTATAATGAGTTTACCTTGGTGTTAGGCTTTTGGTAATGAAATCTTTAAACCAAAGAGCAATATTTTGGATGCACCTAGAAGTCTTTATTTAAACTAAACAAGAGGAAAAGAGGAATATCCTGAGAATCCACCTAGCGCATCTGCTAGCTGTTTTTACCATATGTTACACGTACTATACATATGTTTGTATATGGTGATAGATACTTTGGCAGTTTTGTTGTGGCTTATATGAATCTGATTTTTCAACTGTGACAAGATTACTGCCCTAATAAAAAATGATGTCACTGGAAAGACACTACGCCTAACGTTAGTTTCTATAGTGAAGAAGTTTCTATAAACTTATAAAGTTAGTTTCTATAGTGAAGAAGGCTGGAGCAATAGCACAGCTGGTAGGGCGTTTGCCTTGCATGCAGTTGACCCGGGTTTGATTCCTTCGTCGCTCTCGAGAGCCTGGCAAGCTACTGAGAGTATCCCACCCACATGGCAGAGCCTAGCAAACCCCCAGTGCCATATTTGATATGCCAAAAAACAGTAACAACAAGTCTCACAATGGAGACGTAACTGGCGCCCACTCGAGCAAATTGATGAACAACGGGAGGACAGTGCTACAGTGCAGCGAAGAAGTTAACAGCCCTTGCAATAATTTCTCCCAGGATATGATACCATTTCTCCCACTCCTCCCACCCCCCTCAAGGACGGCCAGGCAATATCCAGTTTAAATTATCATTTGGACAAGAGGTTAGCACAATTTAGAACTCCAGTATGCTTTTGTTTCTGGGTTGTTTTGTTTTGTTTTGTTTGGAGGGGGCGGGGCAGGAGTTGGTTTTCAGGCCATACCTGACGAAGTGCTCAGGGCTCACTCCTGGATTTATTCTCAGGATCACTCCTATGAGGACTGGGGACCATGTGTGGTTCCTAGAGTGGAATCCAGGCCAGTTGCATGCAAGGCAAGTGCCCGAGCCACTGTACTATTTCTCCAGCCCTCCAACCTACTTCTTCTCAAGTATTCTTTAATGATTGGAAAAGATAAAGGGCATATTACCAGAAATTCTGCGTCTCGGGGCTCTCACTTTAATCCTCTAGTCTATTTCCGCCTCCTTAAAGATGGCCTCTGTCCCGCCATCTGTGGCATCCCTGGTGTTCTTTTTCCAGCGCAACAGACACTTAATATCTGTAAGAAATACCCTGGCAAGTTCCTTGTTTATTAATTCTTGAAACTTGAACTTAAATTTTCTTCTTTATAGCCTAGCACAAGGAGTCAAAAGTAATTATTGGCTGACTTAGATAAGTGAGCAGAACCTAATACTCCTCCCACCCATGCCTCTCTTCCTGCGAAAGCCCCAAATGATGACAGAGCCACATTAGCAGACCATCTTGCACATTTGCTTCTTTTGGGATCGATATTTAATAGACTGTCAAGAACAGGAGTCTGACACTCAAATTTGCTCAGATGCCAGTTCTCCAAATGCCTAGTACAATTCCATTTCCTGCCCATCTGGATATCTAAGCCTTAAAACTAGATTAAAATATATTCATTGTGACCTCAAACTTTCATTTGTTTGTTGTTGTTGGTCCATATACAGACATATGTATAGTGACTTAGAAAAAATTAAGACTCACAATGGGATTTTAGAAGTGACTCCATTCTCAAACTATTTGTTAAATGTAATTAAAGTTTTCTACATTCATTAAAGAAATACAAATTAAATTTCTGGTTTCTAGGTTTCATAGACTAAGAGTCTATGAATCAATTTCTTATTTAAGCCAATAAACAGTTTTTTTAGTAGAAATATAAACAAAGCCAAAATTGCAAGTTGTTTATACTGAGGATAGTATTGTAATTCTTTAATTCATATAGACTGTACATCTGTATATACATATGTAAAACTCGTTTATGTAATTTTATATAAATTATACATATGTAAACTTATATGTATATACATGTGTATCAGATTGTGAACATTCAGCTTACAATAAAACCATATCAATTTTAATAGATTTTGCTGTAGAATAGAGACATTTCTTTTGAAATGCTCCTTATGATTTTGATATTAGAATTCTTTTATTTTCTAGCCATGGAAGAGAGAGCAGTTCAGAGAACAGAACGTAGACGAATCTTGGCAGAGAAGAAGAAGCAAAAAGAAGAGGAGAAATTGGTAATAAATCAAGAATGCAAACTGAGGGAAGAAAAGGATTTGTGAAGGTCCTTATTAAGAAACTAAACTTTGGGCTGGAAAGATAGTACAACGGGTAGGATGCTTGCCTTGCATGCAGCTGACCAGAGTTCAAGTCCTGACATCCCATTTGGGCCACACACTGGCAGTGCTTAGTAATACTCCTAGCTCAGTGCCTTGGGGGTTGTTCCCAGTGGTGTTTGAGGAACTAGGAAGTGCCAAGGATCAAATCCAGGGTTCCAGCAAGCAAAGCATGTGTTCTAGCCCTTTGAGTTATTTCCTTAGTCCAAAGTTTATTTAATTATTTGGTTTCCTGGCCACACCTAGGGGTATTCAGGGGTGACTCCTTGCTTCCTGCCTACGGTTACTCCTGGCTGTGCTCAGTAATCATGTGGTGTCAGGGACTGAATCTGGAGTTGCTACATGTAAACATGCAAAGCATGTGCTCCAGCCCATTGAGCTATTGCTCCAATTCAAAGTTGAGTTTTTTTTCTTTTGGGGAGTCACACTTGGTGATACATAGGGTTACTCCTGACTGCACTCAGGGATAATTCCTGGTAGGTTCTGGGGACCATATGGGACGCTGGGGATTGAGCCCAGGTCAGACACATGCAAGGCAAATGTGCTGTCCATTGTACTATCTCTCCAGCTGCCCCTCAAAAAAATTTTTTTTAAACTCTGCTTATTTAACTCTATTAAGATAAGCAAGGTAGACCATTATTAGGAGTAGTTTTTGCCTGCTGACCTAAGTCTGATAATTTAGGAAATGAAAGGGAGAAAATACCAATATTACTAATGTAGGGGCAAGGAAATGTTATTAAAGTTGATAAGAGGCAGCAAACTAGAAGGCTTAACCAAGACTAATGCATTAAAAATTTATGTCAGATTTGCTGGGTTTACAAATATAAATCGTGCGCATCTTCCAAATTTTTGACCTAAACTTTTAGAAGTAAAGTTTGTATCTGCTAGGGAAAAAATGAACAGTTCAAACAAGTTGAGAGCATTTTCCTAGTGAAAAAAAATTTTTTTCCATACCATATATAGTTTGCACTCAGTAATTTACAGGTGAAAATAATGAAAAGTGAGCTGCAAAGATAGCTTATAGGACTGAAGCACAAGAGCTTTGTATGTGGGGAGGCCTGGATTCCATTCCCCTACACGGAGCCTGGAGTACCTCTAGAAGTAACCCACAAGCACTGAGCTAGCTAGAAATCGTCCCTGACCAATGCCAGGTTGTGGCTCATAAACAAAAATAAATAAGAAAAAGAAGAAAAGCTAATCATCTTGTGATGAAAAATTACATTTATTCATGTTTAGCCTCACCTTCCCAAGTAGAGAAGAGTTTTACACAACTGATTGTCAAGTTACTACTTTTATCACAAAACTGTAGACTTCTTGGGGCCATACTGATAGTATAGTAGGTTGGCTGCTTGCTTTGCTCACGGCCAATCTGGGTTCAACCCCCAGCAGCATATGGTCCCCCAAGTCCTGCCAGGAGTGATACCCAGAGTTCAGAGTCAAGAGTAAACACTGAGCACCCCTGGGTGTGACCCCAGACCAAAACAAACAAAAAAAGTGGAGCCTAAAGATACGGTGGGCATTTTAGTTGATACTTCACTTTACTCACGTCTTGTTTGTGTGAAAATTACTATCCTGGCTTTCACAAATTCCAATTTTGATCAGGCACAGTTAAGGGCCGAAGAGGAGGAGCGTCAGAAGAGGGAAGCAGAAGAAAAAGAAGCTCAGCTTAAGAAAAAAAGAGAAGAGAAAAGACTAAAGAAGATGGTTAGTAGTGTGTTTCTCCTACAGCCTTCGGTTTGTGATTCTGTGGTCCTGTCCACCTACCCAGTTATAGAACTGTAGTCTAGAGGGCTCTTACCTCCACCTTCTTTCCCTACCTCACTTATTAAAAATCTCCTTCAGATCTTAGCAGCATGTGTAACTTCTTCTAGATTAACCTTTCCTACCTAACCCATTCTCCTCTTCAACTGAAGATTGATAGGTCTTCTGAAATGAATCTGAACTGTCTTTCCTTCAAAGCATCGCAGGAGCTTATACTTACATATCGTTCGTGGTTTTATTTTTGGTGGTTTTAGTAATTTCTATATCGACAACTAAACTACAATCTTAAGAGAAAAGGGAGCAGTCTGATGTGGGTCACTTGTATTGGCTGGCAGTGAGCCTGGCAGATAGTAGGAATTCAGAAAATATATGGAAAGATTGAGTAAGTGAATGAACACCGGGAACAAAATACACATAGATTAAATTCTTTCACAGTTATTATTTAGGGGGTCAGAGAGATAGTCCAGTGTGCAGGGCACTTGTCTTTCACATGACCCACCCAAGTTCAGTCCCTTGCACTCCATATGGTCGGTCCCCTAATTCCCGCCAGGAGTGATCCCTGAGCACAGAACAGGAGTGAGCCCTGAACACTGCCATCAGATAGGGCCCAAAAAGCACAAAGAACAACATCAAAAAACTATTTGGAAAGATAAGGCCTGTGAATGAACATTTGACAGGGGCAATGTCGTACCATGCTGTCTTGTTCCTTACGGACAAAAAGAGATCAAGAGAATCACACTAGACAGTACCCTTGAAGATTTTAGAGAAATCAGAAGAAATATCATGGAAAAGAGATTTGAGTTAGAAGTTCTTGTCCAGGTTCTTCAGAGGAACAGCCAATAGGATATATGTCTAGAAAGGAATTTATCATGAGAAGTTGGCTTTCATGATTACAGAGACTGAGAAGTTCCGCAATCTGTCATCTGTAAACTAGAGACCCAGTGAAAAAAGCAGATGGAGTAATTTCAGTCCCTGCCTGAAAACCTAAAACCGGGGGGGGGGGGGGGGGGGCCTGCTGGTAAACTTTCCAGTCCAAAGAAAAGGGCAAAGGCCTTGTCCTCGCATGGGCAGATGGGCAAGCAGCAGAAGGGACAGTGTCCGCCTCCTTCCACCTTCTTGTTCTGTGGAGACTCTCACAGGATTCACCTAAATTGGGGAGGCTCTGCTGAGTTCAATTTAAGTCTCATCCAGAAGTGCAGGAGAGAAAGGACAGGAGGTAATGCACTGGGGTTGCAGGTGGCCAGCCCTAGTTCTACACCCAGTACTACATCTCGTCCCCTCATGCTGCCAGAAATGGCCCCTGAGTGTAGAGTCAAGATTGGTCATGGAACAGTGGCAAGTACGGCCCACGAACCAAAACACTGAGTTCTGTCACTCCTACTTTTCATCCCTTGCGTCCTAAGGCCCATGAACCCTGGCTATAGGAAAAACAGTGCTAATCATAGGATCTTGACTCATAGCAAACCGTTTTCTGGAGAAACCTTAACCCCAGACTTGCAAGGAATTGCCACATAAGTGGCACAGAAGTTGAGTCTCCAGAAGTCAGGGGCTGGGTGATAGTACAGTGGGTAGGGTGTATTGCCTTGCACACGGCTGACCTGGGTTCAATCCCCAGCATCCCATATGGTCCCCTGAGCACACCAGGAGTAATTCCTGAGTGCAGAGCCAGGAATAACGCCTGAGCATCACTGGGTGTGACCCAAAAGGAAAAAAAAAAAGTCCATGTCACCATTCTACCAAACCAGCTGTTTTAGAGTAGTGAGGAATATGGAATATATGAAAGGATATCCTTACTCTGCTCCAGATCTTTAAAATAAACTTAAAATATATGATATATGTTGAGTCCTTAAAACAAGTATAATTCTATATTATACTTGTTTTGAATATATTTGATTTTTATATATGCCCTAGTATCTTAAACTGTGGGCTGTAACTGAGAGTGGGAGTCACAAAATATTTGAAAATAAGTTTGTGATGTTTTTCATCAGTAAATGTTTGATTTATGGGACTGGAGCAATAGATAGCACAGCGGTTAGGGCTTTTGCCTTGCATGTGGCCAACCCAGGTTCCATTCCCAGCATCCCATATGGTCCCCTGAGCACTCAGGGGTAATTCCTGAGTGCAGAGTCAGGAGTAATCCCTGTGCATTGCCGGGTATGACCCCAAAAAAGCAAAAAAAAAAAAAGTTTGATTTACATACCTATTTTATATACACAGGGTTGTGTATAAATTTCTTGGGTGAAAAGGGTCATGAATGGAAAAAGGTTAAGAATCCCTGGCATATATAGCTTAATACCTAATGACTTGGGCTGGACCGATAGCACAGCAGGTATGGCTTGCATGCCTTGCACGTGACCAACCCGGGTTCGATTCTTCCTTCCCTCTCAGAGAGCCCGGCAAGCTACGAGAGTATCCTGCCCATACGGCAGAGCCTGACAGGCTCCCCGTGGGTATTTGTTATGCCAAAAACAGTAACAAGCCTCACAATGTTACTGGTGCCCACTCAGGCAAATCGATGAACAATGGGAGGACAGTGCTATCCAATGACTTGGTGCTGCTACTGTATATGTATGGAGAGAGAGAGAGAGAGAGAGAGAGAGAGAGAGAGAGAGAGAGAGAGAGAGATTTAAAAATAGAATGAGGGCTGAAACTAGTTCATTGGGTAGGACGTTCGCCTTGCACATGGCCGACCCGGGTTCAATCCCTGGCATCACATATGGTCCCCAAAGCACAGCCAGGAGTAATTCCTGAGTGCAAAGCCAGGAGTAAGTATCCCCTGAGCATCGCTGGATGTGACCCAAAAAGCAGAAACAAAAAGCGAACAAAAGAAGTGGATTCTGGGGCTAGAGAAATAGTATGGCAGATAGGGGGCTTGTCTTTATGAAACCAAGCCAGGTTCAATCCCCAGCACCCCATATGGTCCCCCAAGCCTCGTCAGAAATGATCCCTGAGTGCAGAGCCAGGAGTAAGCCCTGAGCACCACCAAGTGTGGTGCCCCCAAAAATTGTTTTTTTTTTTCAATTAAAAATAGTATGGAATTATATTGTGTCATCATACCTTCCCTTTTTAGGTGTTGCTTCCTTCTATAGATTTAAGGCTTTCACTCTCGCTTGTGGGGTGGGGCGGGAGGGCAGGGGGAGAGAGCGGAGCCATCTACTGTCAGGAGCTATCCTGAGCTCACCCAGCAGAGCCAGGCCTCGAACCACGGCAGCTGCTGTGAAGGCAGGAGCTGCAAGACCCTCAGCTGCTGTACTATTTCTCCAGCCTCCTTTTCAAAAAATATTTTTACATTTTTGCCCTACCCACACGGCAGAGTCTGGCAAACTCCCCATGGTGTACCCAATATGCCAAATACCAGTAACAATAAAGGGTCTCATTCTCCTAACCCTGAAAGAGCCTTGAATATGGCACTTTTTAAAAAAATCTCAGGGCTAGGACGAAGAAGACATTACTGGGGCCTGCTCGAGGCAATCGACGAATAACAGGATGGTCGTGATCGCCCTACCCAGCTGTGCTCAGGGATCACTTTTGGTGGTGCTCAGGGAGCCATGTGTGGTATGGGGGTTTAAACCCACGTCAACCGCACGAAGTCAAGTGCACTACCCGCTGTGCTACAGCTCTGGCCTCCTCCAGCCCACTTTCTTATTCCCCAGAAGGTAGTTCTGTTGACAGAGCATTCCCGCAGTTTCTGTTTGTCTGAGATAGACTTTTTTTTTTTTGTTAATACTTTAAAGGTGTCACTCTCTTGTTTGCTCAGTTTCTGACAAGAATTCTGCTGTATTTTCTTATTTTTGTTCCTTTTTTTAGGTGTCTTACTCTGCTTAGGCTGCCATAACAAGATACCACAGACTAGTGACTTAAATTCATTCTCTTAAAGCTCGAGAAACTGACTGGATCTTCTATACTAAGGTGCCGGCATAATTGGTTCTTGCCGAGGGCTTTCTTCCTGGCCTGTCGACATCTGCCTTCTGGCTTTGTCTCTGATGCCCCTTCCTCGGTGGGCACCCACCAAGGGAGATAGAGAGCGGGAGGGACCTCTGGTATTCCCCCCTATTGCTGCAGGAGTGATAATGGGGTCTCTGTGTTTGCCCATGGCTCCCAAGTTCAGATAGACACGTTCTTTTATTTATTTGTTTGTTTGTGCCACACCTGGCAGTGCTCAGGGTGGGCAGTGCTTAGGGCTGGCTCCTGGCTCTGTGCTCAGGGATCAGTCGTGGCAGGGCTCAGGAGACCATATGGGATGCCGCTTATCAAACCTGGATCAGCTGCATGCAAAGCAAGCGCCCTCCCCACTGCACTGTCACTCTGGCTTTTCGGCATTCTCAAGAATCAAAGGATGGACTAATGAAGATGCTTAAACTCAGAGAAATAGAGAAAGTTTGAAAGATCAGAAACTCCCCAGCCAGGGAAGAACTTAGTAGAGAAAACAAGAGACCAAAGAGCAAATGGCCAAATTCAGTAAAAGACGTTCTTTAGGGAAAGGCACAGGATGGGGAAAGCAAGGCAGGGAAGCTCCCTGATTATGGGAGGGTCTCCTGAAGGCTGAAGTCCTTCCCCTTTCATTCCTTTATAACAAAGGTGGGTGGGTGAGCACTTCTTTATTATGCCCTAAGAATGTGGACCATAAAAAAAAACTGAAGAGGATTTCTCTAACTGGAAGAGACAATATGCATATTAAGAAAGTAACACCTGAGATGTTAGAGAAGGAAGGGGAAAGAAACTTAATTCTTTTCTCACTTGCTGTCCCAACCCCCGTGTTCTAGATTCTAGAAGGATATGAAGATTTCAACATGTCCCAAGCACAGAGAATTCACAATAGCACTGTAGCATTGTCCTCCCGCTGTTCATCGTTTTGCTCCAGCGGGCACCAGTAACATCTCACAACAAATTGTGAGACTTGTTGTTACTGTTTTTGGCATATCGAGTATGCCGCGGGTAGCTTG